CTAGCCATATTTAGCTATTTGAGCACTTGAAATGTGGCTACTCCAAATTGAGAGGTGTGTACATGTAAAATATACACAGGATCGCAAAGAAATTTTAAAAATGTAAAATATCACAACGATTTTTTATATTGATTACATGTTGAAATGATATTTTGGATATATTGGGTTAAATAAACTATGATATTAAAATTAATTTCACCTTTTTCTTTTTTTAAATGTGTCTCGTAGAAAAATTAAAAATGGCATCTGTGGCTCATGCACTGCTTTTGTAAATAGAGGCTGTTTGTAGAATTTATTTTAGTGCTCTCCTGATCATGCGTTTTCCCCTTATTTTTCTATCCAGAGGTAGAAAACATCACCCAGATACATTGTTTTATCCAGAGTCGGTTTATTTCCAGGGGGAAACAGGTGGAAACAGCTGTTTGCAGTCATATTCTTTTACTCCCACACAGTGTTGTTATTGCTGTCACTTTTGGCAGATGCATTTTATTAAAAATATTGGCTAATCAGTAACTTGTTTAAGGCACACACCAGAAGGCTTGCTTTTTTAAAATAAAGCAATAAAATAAAATGATCATGGAGAGTCAATCCTGGACTCCAGCGTTCATCTAACCGCATTTTCTTACAGCATAAGCCAGCACCACTCAGATGCTTACATTCTGTCCGTCACACGCTCATCCTATAATGCATGAAATACCTTCTAAAAAATCTCACGGGGCTACAAAGATCTTCTCTGAAATATTTTTAAAGCTCTAAAGGGTTATAATTGTCTAAAATAATGTTTTGCTTCCTGAAACCTGTTTCATTTTAGTTCTAAATGTTCCTCGGTATTAATTTATTGACTCTGAAAAGAGAAGTAGTCTTCATAAGTAAGCATGTGCTTCCTTACCAGCGTCATATATCGTGTCCACTACCTAAAGTGGAGTGGAAATTTGCCACTTACCTAGTGTCATTTTATTTGTGCAGTTCAGTAGCTATCAACCCTGTTCTGTACTGGTATCACCTGGAGAAATTTTGAAAAACACAAATGCTCAAGCCTCGTCCCTAGAAATTCTGATTTAGCGAATATGAAGTCTACCTTAGCCAACTGAGAAAATGGGATGCACAGCCTAGGTTGAGAACTATCTGTGAGAACAGCAAAACTAGTGTTTTAGGCTCTCTAAAACTTACTTAAAAGAAATTAGTTTGCACCCAGGTCTCTCTCCTTTCCTCCCTGCCTGCAGGAATACTAAGCATCTATGCTCAGACCTTCTTACCAAAATCTCACTGGCTGAGACTCTTTTGCTCCACTAAACTCCTGTTAGGGTTACTACAAGCATCGCTCATTTGTCTGATGTTTATGTCCTGTGTGTGTGTGTGTGTGTGTGTGTGTGTGTGTGTGTGTCTCCCCAACTGGACTATAATTCTTTAGGGAAAGGAATAACATGTTTATGTTTACCATGCACCATTCTAGCCAAACGCAGTTCTCATAACAGGTACTCAGTAAAAAAGGATGTTTCGAAAGTGCATACGTAACTTGGATAATCTTAAGACATTTATAAGCACAGAAATAAAACAATTTATATTATTCATAATGAGACAATTAGCTTATGTTAGTGCCAAATATTCAACGTGGTCAACATAAGAATTTAAGAAACTATAAGTTTCAAAGGGTTCCTTAGAAAATAGGCCAAGGCAAAAACACTCTTGAGAATTGCAACAGCATGGAAAATGTCATCTAGGCTTTATGGGGATCTGTATTAGTTAGCTCAGGCTGTCATAAAAAATACCACAGATTGGGGGGCTTAAACAACAAAAACTTATTTTCTCACAGTTCTGGAGGCTGGGAAGTTAAGATCAAGGTGCTGGCCGATTTGGTTCCTGGTGAAGTCTCACTTCCTGGCTTAGAGATGGCCACCTTCCCACTGTGTCCTCACATGGCTGGGGAGGGAGAAGGTGTAGACACCGAGCTTTCTGGTGTCTCTTCTTATAAGGACACTAATCCAATTGGGTCAGGGCCTCACCCGTATGAGCTTATTTAACCTTCATTACCTCCTTACAGGCCCTATCTCCCAGGACAGTCACATTGAGGGTCAGGGCTTCAACATATGAATTTGGGGAGGGCAGACACAATTCAGTCCATAGTAGAATCTTTCCTCAGTATCTCTGGCCAGTGGTCATCCAGCGGTTATATCAATGATTCTAGTGGTGAGAAATCAGTACCTGGCAATACTTCATTGTGGGAAAGCTCTAATGGTTAGAGAGCACATGTGATATGAAGTCAAATTTGCATTTCCCAAACTTCTGTCTTTGGTTTCATGTGTGCTCTTAAGAATCATCACAAAACAAATAAAATCTCTCCCCTCTTAACAGCCCTTTAACTAAAGATAACTGTAGCAATTATGGATCTCAGTCCACAAACTCAAGTTTGCAAGAAATATAATATACTAATTTTACCCAAGGGTTGACTTTAAAAGCATCAAACTCAAGATTCTCTCTCCCCACCTACCCTTCCCTTTACCTTGAACTACTAGGATCTAAGATTCTCTCTCCCCATCCACCCCTTCCTTCACCTTAAACTCCTACATCTCCTTTAAAGCAGTCATGAAGGGAATGATACATTATAAACCTTTCTGCCAAAAAAATTTCCCCGTCTCACAAGTTTTACTAATTACATATGTTTTACCGAAATGCCATGTGTTTGTTGTATCTATCATACAGTTAAATTAAAATATATATGGCTAAAGTGTTATTGGGATTTTCTGTATTATAAGTTTTATTGTAGCTATTTTATATTTATCACAGTTGAGTTTTCTGATCACAGCGATGTCAAAGTATTATTTCAGAAGAATAAATCTACCATCCATCCTGAGGGGCAGGTTTAAAAAATTAATTTTTTTCTTTTATGAGAGAGCTCCTCCTCCAGGCCTGTTTTCTTGCCCACAACCCGGTAAGACTCTGTCTTATTGACTTTCTGCTGGGATAGGATTTTAAAATAACTTTTTGACCCACCCTATTAAGCCAGTGCTTCTTAATTTTCCTTCAGTGAAATACCAGTAAGGGAAGAGGACGAAGAACGCAGTATGTAGCTGGAAGTAGCCCGAAACTAAAATTTTGTTGATGATTATGATTAAATTCTAATTTTCATTCCACTTCATTATACATCATTGCTTTACATATAACAACGTTTCACTTCCCTGAATCTTTCAGTAGATTGATGCCATAGGAAAATATGCTATGTTTACTTTGTGGCTTTGAATAAATTGGTTGATACACCTAAGAATAAGCCTTAACTCCCGGCTGGGGAGACGAGGAGACTTGGAGGAAAGGAGGAAGAAGCAAGCCTCATTTGAGAGCCTTGCATGACAAAAAAAGTTTCAGTTTGGAAACGTGGGGTTTGCTGGCTATGTTCATAATGTACCTTACCCCTTATTTCCTTAGAGCCTATTCCCTTGTATTGTTTGCATACAGGACTTAGTTTCGATGGGACCATTAGAGCCTGAAGGAGCGATCCGTTCTCACTCATCGCCCTCTTTCCAGGTAGTACAAATATCTTGTTTTTCCAGCTAATATTAATTGAGCACTACTATGTACCTGGCTTCCTTCTAAACTCTTTACATTTATCAAGTCCTTTAATATTCCCAACAATTCTATGATGAGGGTATTATGATTATGCCCAACATACAGAAAACTGAGGCATAATTTATTCAAGATCACACAGCCTGTGAGTAACTGGTAGGGGACATTCCAACCTAGGCATTCTTAATAGCTATAATATAGTGCTTTAATGATTCAACGTTTAACCTACAGCCTTAAGGCAATAATAAATGTGTAAAACTAAAACACATAAAGGCTTTGATAATGTTGGATGTGTTATAAACTGAAAGGTTTTTAAAGTAAACTTTTTTTTTAATTTTATTTATTTATTTTTCCCCCAAAGCCCCAGTAGATAGTTGTATGTCATAGCTGCACATCCTTCTAGTTGCTGTATGTGGGACGCGGCCTCAGCATGGCCGGAGAAGCGGTGCGTCGGTGCGTGCCTGGGATCCGAACCTGGGCCGCCAGTAGCGGAGCGCGCGCACTTAACCGCTAAGCCATGGGGCCGGCCCTAAAGTAAACTTTTTATTCAATTATGACACACATATTGAAAAGTGCATAAATCATGTTCAATGAATTTTCATAAAGTGAATACACTGATATAACTATCACCCACATAGAGAAGCAGAACATAACCAAACCCCCTCTCCCGGAGAATCCCCTCTTATGTTCTAAGGTAAGTTTCAAAGTTCAAAATAAACATTCACTTATTGTTGTGCAGGCTGCATTCTATAGTCTATTTCAGACCCTGATTGACATTCATTTCCACAGTAGTATACTCCTTCTAGAGCAGTGATTCTCAAAATGTGATCCCCAGACAAGCAGCCTCAGCATCACCCGGGGAACTTGTTAGACTTGCAAATTCAAGGAACCCAATCCAGACCTGCAGAACAGAAACTCTGGGGGTGGAGCGCAGCAACTTGTGTTTTAACAAGCCCCCAGGCTGATTCTGATGCACGTTAAGGTTGGAGAAGCACGGCTGTAAGTCCGTTGGAACAGTTTTGGTTCGTGATCGCCTAGTAACTGTTAGGTGAATACTAGGGTCCTAAGTGTTATGCCTGGTGACAAGTCCTATCACCTATCTCTTTTTGAAGTACAACTGAGGGTAAAATGCCTTTCCATTTTAACTAACCGTGTCGTCCTAATAGTCAACGTTGCATTTCAGCAGGAGGATAAAGCACCCCCTCGCCTCTTAAGCTCTCTCCCAGCCCAGCCTGGAGTTGCCCCGTTTACCAACAGAGCCCGGCCCCAGGGTGGCGGGGAATTCAACTTCTAGAGGCGGGAGCAGGTCTCGGCCAATCAGAAGCCAGACTCGAGCCCGCTCGCCCACCCTGGGGGTGTGATTGGTGGTTTCCCGCCGCCGGAAGAGGCCCTCCGCGGCGCCGCCCCGCGCCCCCCCGCGCGAGCCAATCGTCGCTCGGCGTCCCAAACAGCAGGACCCGCGCGAGCGATGTAACATGGCGGAGGACGCGTCCTCAGCCGCTTCGAGCCCGCGGGGCCGTGCGGACGGGGAGGATGCGGACCCCCCGGAGGAGCAGGGGGCGGCCACGGCGAGGGACGATCAGGAGCAGTTCGAGTGCCAGGAGCTGTTGGAGTGCCAGGTGCAGGTGGGGGCCCCCGAGGAAGAGGAGGACGCCGGCCTGGTGGCCGAGGCCGAGGCGGTGGCGGCCGGCTGGATGCTCGACTTCCTCTGCCTCTCTCTGTGCCGGGCCTTCCGCGACGGCCGCTCCGAGGACTTCCACCGGACCCGCGACAGCGCCGAGGGTGAGTGCGGGGCTGCTCCGGGGGCGCGGGCCGCGGCGGCGGAGGAGCGGAGGGACCGAGGCTCCGAGTTGGACGTGGGCTCGAATCCCGCGTCCGCCTGTTACCAGCTCCTCAGGTTTTCTCGTCGGTGAAATGAGAATAAGACCCCCAGTTAGCGTTGATACAGGATTCAGTGAGTTAAAGTGTACGACACTGCGCCTAACCCAGCGCCCACTTCGTTTTGTCTCCTTTGGCGCTTGTATTTGTTAATTTCCTCTGACTCAGGTATTCCTGTAACGGCATTTATTCAGTAGTCACTGGCCTCCCGGTGACCTAGGCATCAGTGTTTGCTGTTAATTTGTGAGCCACGTATTTAAGCCTCGTTTGGCCTGCCTGCTCGGTATAGGCTTCAGAGGAGAAGCAACTGTCAGTGAAATCTGCGGCCGGGACGAGAAGGCCTGCAAATGATGGACAAAGACACAGACCCGTGGAGAACACGAGCCCGGCTTTCTGGATGATAACAGAAGGATGCTCGTGTTTATTTCAGAGTTGGCACGCAACTTACTGCAGCTGCATGCAGCCCCAAGATAGTGTTTAATAGAAAATTTTATACTTTAGAAAACCATATTGACACATTTCATCTTCAGGTAATCCCATGAGTTAGGCAGGTAATCTTAGAGTGAACTAGTTAAGCAACCTAAAGAATTGATAGGTTACAAGAGGTATTCCAGACCCATGCAGTATCTTCCACTTCAAGAACCTTTCCTCTAACTGTATTGCAGATAACACCAGAGCCATGGTTAATTAACATTAATTAGAAAATTAAATCCTGAAATGAAGGCAGTTCACTGTAATTAGAATTATTAAAAAGTCCTCTTTGGTGTGGAGGCTAGAATTATCTATGTGGTAATGAATTTGAACTGGAAACCTTATTGTGAACTCCTGTTTAGCTTAATATAGGTATAAATGGTTACATATAGAAATATACATGCATATAGCTATACATATGTAGACACAGGTTAGTATACTCATATATTTCCTTGTTCTGGCAGATTAAAGGGCATAGAAGTAGTGTAACTCTGGTAACAACGAGTACAGCTAGCGCTCGAGTCTTGGTTTCTAATACTGTTCTCCAATACAGGAACCAGAGTTCTTTGGAGAAATGGCCTGTGTCTAGGACAGGGACAGGAAACATACAAGATGAACCTGGAACATCTTGTGCCAGAAAGGAAGGAAGTGCTTCCTTCCTGTTTGCAGAGCAAAACAAAACCTCCAAACAAACAAAACCCCACAATACTGGGAGTACAAAGGGACACAGGAGCTGACTGCAAGAGCTCCCAATGACCAAAGCTCAAACAACTCGAGCAAGAAAACCATTAGTATTGGATCATAACCCAAAGTATAAAATAAATACCCATGGGTCCATACGGATGTAAATAAATGATGGAATAAATAGAGGAAGAGACAAATCTCCCGTGCAGAAGAATTCCAAATAATTCGTGTAGCTACTTTGCCCTCAAGGAGGTGGAGCATAGCTCCCCACTGCTCAAGTGTGGGCTGCGCGTGGTGACTTTCTTCTGAAAGTACAGTATGGAAAGGAGGGAACGAGTACCTTCACAGTAGAGAAACCTGACGGATTCCTCACCTAGGTAATCAAGGGCAACATCAACAGTGATAGTTGATAGTACTTGCACTTGATAAGATGTGATGGGAAATGGAACTTGACCTCTGTGACCTTCCTCCTAAAACTCCTAACTCCAGTCTAATCGTCAGGAAAAAATCAGACAAATCCCAGTAGTGGTACATTCTACAAAATACTCAAAACTGTCAAGGTCATCAAAAGGAAGGAAAGTCTGAGAAACTGTCATAGCCAAGAGACTCCTAAAGAGACAGGATGACTAAATGTAATGTGGTGGCCTGGATGGGATCCTGCAGCAGAAAAAGGACATTATGTACAGACTAAGGAGATCTGAATAAAGCATGGACTTTAGTTAGTAATGTATCAATATTGGTTCACTAATGTAACATACTATACTAATGTAAGATGTTAATAATAGGGGAAACTAGGTGGAGGGTGTATGGGACCTCTATCTTCACATTAATTCCATAAATTTGAAAATGTTCTGAAAAATAAAGTTTCTTTGAAAAGGAAAAAGATCTCTTTCAGGGTTGTAGCTCAAGACCCAAGGAGTAATCTAGGCCACTGCCATTATTTTAAGGTTAAGGACAGAAACCAGAGAGAGTGAACTGTTTTTCAAATAGCACTTTAATCACTGACAGACATGCAAATTGTGAACATCGTGTTGTCTCTATATTCCCGTTTTTGACTGAAAAACTAACTCCCTTTTATCTCTTTTATAGAATTCCATTTACTACACTTTTTAATATTGTAAAAATGTACAACTCTTGATGCTTTCTAGAAAATTCTTAGCTCTTTTATTCCAAATCAGAATTGTTCTCGCACCTCACGTATCTCAGATAAAGCTTTTTCAGACTGGTACTCCTAACCTATCTCCTGCATGGGAAGCAGTGTAGGATAGTGATTAAGAGCATGGGCTCTGGAGGAAATTGAGTCTGGTTCCTGGCTCTGCTGCTTCATAGCTGTAAGAACTGAATCAAGCTCCTCATCCTCTTGGCACCTCAATTTCCTCATCTGTAAAATGGTAATAATAGTAGTGTCTACCCCATAGGGCTGTTGAGAGAAGCAAATGAACTGATATGTATAAAGCAAGGTTTCTCAACCTCAGCACTGTTGACGTTTTGCACCACGTAATTCTTTGTTCTGCGTAAGCGTCAGGGTGGAGGGGGTGGAGGTAGTTCTCCTGTGCTTTGTAGGATGTTTAGCCGCATCCCTGACGTTAACCACTAGGTGCCACGAGCACCTCCTCCCACTCATGACAATCAAAAATGTCTGCAGACATTGCCACATGTCCTGTAGGGAACAAAAGCACCCTCGGTGGAAACTGCCAGTGTAAAGTGCTTAGAATAGTGCCTGGAATCATAATAAGTGCTTAATGTGGTTTCTGTTGTTGCTGGTCGTTAGATCTTCCCTAATGGGTGTTTCTGTCAGCAGTGTTTGGTTAAACAGATAGCCAGTTCAACCAGGGTAGTTTTTCATTGTTTTTTGCCTAGCAGGTACAAAGAACAGAAGGGCAAGGTATCTGTAGTTATTGCAGAGTAGACTAAATTGAATATGGAAGGAAGTGCAGACAGAAGGGGTCTGACCTCTTCCCCAGAATAGATTGGGTCTTTCTTTTGTTTTGCTCCTATAACATACTTACCCTTTGTGGCACTCATTAAAATTTAAATTAGTCACTTGCATAACTTTTTGTTTAATTCGTCTTCTCAGACTAAAGCCCTCACGGGGGCAGGGACTGGCTTTTATCATTCAGTCATCAGTCGCTAACATTGGCTAGCTGTAGGTGTTCAGTAAATATTGTATGAATTGTGTTTAAATTTTATATAACTTTTGTGCTCTCTTTGAATCCTATTTAATCATATTATGGCTATATTTGGTCCAGATAATCTGTAGTATGGCATAAGATTATGGCATCAGAGAATTGAGGAAATAAATACAAAACAATATATTTATTTGTCTTATCTGCTTAGTGGCTGCCCAACTGATTTTTGGTTTGCTAGTTAATTTAACCTTTTTATATACACTAACCAAGCCCTGGGTAAAGTATAATCCTAACCTTCAGGTCTTACTTTAAACATTATCTTCTCAGAGAAGCCTTCCCTGATATCTCCTCCCTCCGACTGGCATTAAATTATGCTAGCTCCACATTTTTACTTTAGTTGTTCGATCATTGTCTTACATTGCTACATGGTAGTAAACTCACTCAGGTCCAAGATGATGCTTTACTCACCATTGTATGTACCCACTGCCTAGCATAACATCTGCGTGGGCATTCAGATATTTGGGAGATTATTATTAATGAATATGTTTTTAAAATAAAACTTTGTAAACCAAACAGGCTCTCACTTAACTGAAATGTTGACAGAAATAATATAAAATATTTTCTATAATATTAGGAATTTTAAGTTATAAAATAAGCTTTTAGCTAATGATTTGACAAATTTTACAATTCGGATCTAAATCTCCCTTTTTATTAGTATAGAATGCTGCCTGTGAAAATAGTTTTAAATATTTATTATTCTGCATGCAAAACAGTTTTATTTTGCAAGAAAAGTGTTCGTTTCTATTGTTTTTTGTTCTGATTTTTAAAAATTGTCTATAAATAAAAGCATACAGCTCTAAATTTATGATAATTTTTGCATGAGGTTTGTAACCTATTCCTCAGCAAACCACACAGAGGCACTGCTGGGTCAAGTTGTTTTTTTTTGTTTTCTAAATAATATTCACTTTTTTCTTTTTCAGCTATTATTCATGGACTGTCCAGTTTAACAACTTATCAGTTGAGAACTATATACATATGTCAGTTTTTGACAAGAATTGCAGCAGGAAAAACCCTTGGTAAATATGTGTTTTTATCTTATATTGGAAGTATTTCAGTCTACGTCTAAAGGTAAGACAATGAGAAGAAACAGACGGGAGCTGTTGCTTGTTTTTGAGAGTTTGCCCATGTGCATCTGGCATGTACATCTACACACAAACATGTCCAAAGCAAGTGAAGGAAACGGAGTCCCTATCTTCTTAGAGCAGTGGTTCTCAATCTTTAGCCTGCTTCAGAATTGATAAAGAACTTGTTAAAAAACAGAATGTTGAGTCCCCTTGCCCAACATGAGTTTCCAATTCAATAGGATGGTGAGGGGTCCTGGAGTTTACATTTCTAATAAGCTGCCAGGTGATTCTGATGCTGCTGTTGGGAACCACACCTTGTGGACTCTGTTTTGGAGATTTCACTTTAAATTTGACTCTGTTATAATTTTGTAGTGACTCTTACTATCATAAACACTTGGTTTTTTACTGGCAATTATGATATTTGAAACCTCTTATTTGAACTTGATTTCAGCACTTATTTATATAAGGGAATATATGATTTATAGCTACAGTTCTTTCTCCCTTGTCCCCATAATTCATTTTACATTGTAATAGGCAAGCCTGATTCAGTTTATCAATAATGGCTGATATTTACAACAGTTATTTAAAGGACCTTTTGATGGAAATAATTACATATTTATATTGGTTTTTACAATTTACAAAATGCTTTCCCAGCAGTCCCAAAGGGTAGGCAATACTTACATGACACTGCTTACTTATAAACATGTTGTATTATGTAAAATCCCAGTGTAGTAGTGCCACTCTCATGGCCCTCACAAACTGGCTCTGGCTCGTGTAGTGTGCTTTGTGTTGGGGGTGAGGTTAGGTCTGGAGTTGGTACCAGGATCATAAGTGGATAGGACTAGAGGCAGAGTAGATGTTGGGGAGACAGAACTATAGGTAGGTCTGGGCCTGTTGCTGAAGAAGAAAATGGGCTGATGTGGATACAATTGGAGAATTCCTTACCATGCAGATGGTAAGTTAACATGGTTGTTAACGGAGTTGTTTTGTAAATTAAATGTGACAAAATATTCTAAAGTGCCCACCCGTGTTTCACATATAGCAGTTGTTCCGTATATCTTAGTTTCTCCCCCAATAACCTTTCCTCCCAACAAAAGGGTTGAAAAAATCCAGATTTTATGTGTGACCACATGGTTTAATCTTGAAATTCATCAGGATCCCATTTTTGGTACATCTTAGATATAATAGGCCAGGCAGGGTCAGTTATCAAGAATCAATTTATTTCATCATAATGGATTCAAGTGAGGCAGCATTTAAAATTTGATTTTAATTTATATACTGGGTTTATATACACAACCCTTTTTTTTGTTTGTTTTTGGTAGTTGCTCTACAGCAGCACGGCCTAATAGAAATAAAATGTGAGCCACGTATGTAATCAAAAATTGTCTAATAGCTACATTAAGTAAAGTAGAAAGAAATAGTGGAATTAATTTTAGCAATATCTTGTTTAACCCAATATTTCTAAAATATATGTCAACATATAATCAATATAAAACATGTTAATGAGATATTTTACCCTTTTTTTGCAGTAAGTCTTTAAAATCTGCTGTGTATTTTATACTTACAGCACATCTCAATTTGAACTGGCCATATTTTAACTGCTCAATAATTACATATGGCTAGTGGCTACCATATTAGCTTTAGTCTCCTGCCCCACATAGCTTTAAAATATGGCAAAGGTCTTGAAGGGGAAATGTTTGTTAACGGCAGGTTCCCTCCTCTCATGGGAGTTTCTCTTTTAAGATCTCTGCAACTCTGGGAGATTTCCCTACCTTTCCATCCCAGCTTCTTGCACTACCCAAGAACTCAGCGAATGTCCTGTGGGGAAAAAACAACCGTGTGTTTTCAGTTCCACTAGTTTCTCATCCACCAAGCCAGGCCCAAGGAAACCACCAAAGGCTTTGCTCATTTCTCTTACTCCCAGTAAAATCTCCCTGACTGGAGTATACTGAATCCTCAGCCGTATCAGCAAATGAGCCCAGGGAGGTAAACAGTTGCAAGTCACCAGCTCATCTCAAAAGGATTCTCTCTCTGGAATTGTAGTCCATCTAGTTCTCATTGCTTCCACGGCTCTGCCATGTCTTTGGCAACATGATTTTACAGTTGACCCAGTTTTTTTCTAGTTGTAGTGGAAGTGTTGGCCTGCTGCAGTGTCCTTTATCCTACCTGAAAGTGAAAGTCTACACTGTAAATTTTTTGAAGTTAAGATCTAACATATATACATTTTTTGTATATCTCACGTTTGTAAGAAGGAAGGCAGATTAGTGAGAAGGGTTAATGTCAGCCGAGAAAGACTTCTTAGGAAAGGTGAGTATTGCAGTGAGTTTTTAAAAGAAAGAAAGCCGATATAAAATGAAGAAGAGTTAGGCAGTCTGCCTGTGCTTTTCATTTCACTGCTTTACAGCATGTACTCTCGCCCTACCAGCCATCTTGTTATTCCTGAAGTGCACCTTTTTTGAGACACAGTAAATGGTTTTTAAGAGTTCTGGTGTCTACTTCTACTACTTGCTAGCTGTGTGACCTCTCTAGGCCTCAGGTCCTACTTTATAAAACAAGGTTGGTGATGTTGTGTAGCCGTTTAAAGAATTGTGTGGACAAAGGAGCTACTGCGTGTTAAGCACTTAGCACAGTGCCTGACACATAGTAGGGCCTCAGTAAGTGTTAACTGTGAGTGTGAGTATCTTTTGTACACCTCTGCCTTCTTTTCTGCTGCTCCATCTTCCTGAAATGTCCTTGCCATCCTTATCCTCTGCACTTGAGTATCTTCTGTTTATCCTTAATGTCCCAGTTCAGATGATTTCTCTCTCGTGAAGGGTTCTCGTCTAGTATCCCTTCTTAGAGCTAATACTCTGTTCCTCGCACTAGACTCCGCCAAAGAGTTTTTGGAAAATAGAGGTGCATGGACTCTATACTGATTAAATCAATCTCTGGAGGATGGGCCTAGGCATCAGTATTTTTTAAAAGCTCCCCAGTTGATTCTCAGCTATAGCTAGGGTTGAGAACCACTGGCATAATACATAATTCCAGTAAAGTATCACCCACGTTGGTTTGTCTGCATGTCTTCCTTCATAGCTAGCATGTGAGTTCCACAAGGGCAGGAGCTGTTTCTTCCTCATGCCTGTATCCTACCTGTCACAGGGCCTGCAATATAAAAAGTATATGAATGAATGTATTTTTATATCTAAAATGTTGGAGAAACAATTAGGAGAGGACAATAGGAAATAAAGTAGAAATTGTTGAAACTACTAATATTTAAATTGCATGCTCCCTCTAATTTTTCAAAGGAACAAAAAAGGATGTGCCATTTAAAATTCTCTTAAGTATGTTTGTTACGTAGTTGGCTATGGAACTACAACTGTACCAGGAACTATAGGGATTTAGAGGAATGTACCTCTTGCCCTCAAAATTTGAAATGTAATCATTATGCTTGTAGAGTGAGTAAGAGGTTTTCTACATTCAAGACACTTCAAAGCTAATAGGATTGGGGCCTGCTTGGTGTAGTGGTTGAGTTCATGTGTTCCACTTCGGTGGCCCGGGGTTCACAGGTTCAGATCCCGGGCATGGACCTATGCACTGCTTATCAAGCCATGCTGTGGCGGGCATCCCACTTATAAAGTAGAGGAAAATGGGCACGGATGTTAGCCAATCTTCCTCAGCAAAAAGAGGAGGATTGGCAACAGACGTTAGCTCAGGGCCAAGCTCCCTCACCAAAAAAAAAAAAAAAAGCTAATAGGATTGTTGAAATAAGTAAAAAATACTGCAAGGCATGAAAAAGATAGGAATAGTGATACAAGAGATTTAGAGAAAAGAAATTTTCTAGTCATTCAGAGTAAGGAAGGAATTCAAGAAGGAGGTAGAGGTTGCTCTGTGCCTAGAAGGATTAATGGGTTTCATCAGAAAGAGAGTGTGAAAATGGTGTTCTAGACAAAACAAAAACCTAAGAGTTATTTGGAGAATAAACTATAGTTAGATTTCCATGCCTGACTCCCAAAACTTGCTCCTCACCCAGGCTTCCTATGTCAGTAAATGGCAGCAGCACTTATCCCGTTGTTAAAACCTAAGAGTCCTTCGTTTTTCCTCACGCTCTGCCTCCAGTCCACTAGCGAGTCCTGTTTGTTCTACGTTCAGAATAAGTTCCGAATCAGACATTCACTTCCCTCCTGCCTCATCTCTGATAGCGTCCATCCCACTTGCCCACTGCTCCAGTCGACTGATCTCCTTTCTGTCTTTTGAACACCCAGCTCCTGCTCAGGGCCTTTGTACTCGTGCCGCCTGGAGTGTTTTTCCTCTAGACTTGGTGTGGCTGCTGCTTCTGCTTCACGTTATGCTGATCTTGACTCCACTGTCACTTCCTCCAAGAGGCCTCTCCTACCGACCCTGTCTGAAGCCTCCCCCATCATTCTTGGCTTCTAGTACCCTTTTCTTCCTACTAGCCCTTATTACTCTGAAGTTAAATTGTTTGTTAATCTGTTTATTACCTGTTTCTCCCATTAGCATTGTGAGCATCATAAGAATAGGGAGTTTGTCTTATTCACTGAGATATTGCAGTTTTTAGGTGAGTGCCTACTCATAGTGCATGTTCAATATTTATTGAGTGAATGGATTATAGGTTATAGGTGCAAGACATACATAGTGAAAGTTCTGAATGTCAGATTGAGATGTTTGTGTGTAATTTGCTAAGTGGTTACCAGCCACTGTGAGTCTTTGATCAGAACTTGATCAAAATTCTGTTTTAAGAAAGTTTAACAGTAGTACAAATATTATCTCATTAAATATTCACGTAAATCTTATGAGATAGCATTTATTTTCATCATTTTGTAGGTGAGAAAACTGAGCATTAGAAAGGTGAAATAACTTTTCCAATACCACGCAGGTAATACATGATGGAGTCTGGAATAGACTCGAAACAATCTTTTTAAACCACTATACAGTATTTTGCAACAGATTGGATATGGTGATGAGAAAGAGGAAGGAGTTAAAACAGTGACTCCTTAGATTTTAAGCCTTGGTGATTAGAAGAATGTTGGTAGAGAAATAACTTCTTGAAAGATCCTGTTTCACGTATCCACAAAATAGATAACGAGGGTTTCAAGTAGTATACGTTAAAATCAAATTTCAAAATAAACTAATTTTGTGCTCTATCTTAAGGTTTATTATAATGCATTAGACTTAAGAACCATTTACGAATTCCATTACTGTGACAACTTATGTAAAATATAGTTTATTTAGCTCTTAAAAATCAATATTTTAGTAAAGAAAAGCTTCAAATATTTCATAAACTCACCTAGCTTTTTCCCTTTTTTTTTTTTTTTTTTTGGTGAGGAAGATCGGTCCTGAGCTAACATCTGCCAATCCTCCTCTTTTTGCTGAGGAAGACTGGCCCTGGGCTAACATCTATGCCCATCTTCCTCCACTTTATATGAGATGCCGCCACAGCATGGCTTGCCAAGTGGTGCGTCGGTGCGTGCCCGGGATCTGAACCTGTGAACGCTGGGCCGCCGCAGTGGAGCGCGCGCACTTATCTGCTTGCTTCACTGGAGCGGCCCCGCTTTTTCCATTTTTAAAGTTGATTTTAATGAGGAACTTAACTTGAAAAATCAAATCACTTCCCTAAACTGGTGTATACAAGAGCAGTGCCTGGCACATAGTATACACTCATTTAAGAAATGAGTTTAGGGTCCGGCCCCGTGGCTTAGCGGTTAAGTGCGCACGCTCCGCTACTGGCGGCCCGGGTTTGGATCCCAGGTGCGCAGCGACACACTGCTTGTCCGGCCATGCTGAGGCGGCGTCCCACATACAGCAACTAGAAGGATGTGTAACTATGACATACAACTATCTACTGGGGCTTTGGGGAGAAAAAGGGAAAAAAAAAAAAAAAAGGAAATGAATTTATAAAAAATTGACAAAGTAAGGTTCTACTTAGCTTTCTAAGTTACTTATTTTTGTTCTGGTTTTAAAAGATGCACAGTTTGAAAGTGATGAACGAATTACACCCTTGGAATCAGCGCTGATGATTTGGGCTTCAATTGAAAAGGAACAGGACAAACTTCATGAAGAAATACGGAATTTAATTAAAATTCAGGTAGGAATATTACTTTGTATTTATAATTATTATTTTGTTAGAAAATAAAAATATAACATCTAAAGAAATTAAGAGCCATTTAATAGAATTTGGGCAGTAAACTCGGAGTAAAATTTAATGAAATTGTTCTCTTTAGAAATCTGACCTTTGGTTTATAGTCTTGACACAGGCTCTAAGAGCTGGGAGTTAATGTTTGCTACCTAAGTGTATATTCAGAAGATACGCCACATCTATTTAAAGATCACCAGGCAACTGTCAAAAACCAGTGGTTTGTGCTTTCCTAATTCCTATTTAAAGATGATTAATATGAAAAAATAGAATATTTGATAAGAAAGTAATGGGTTTTTTTGATTAAGAGAATGTAAAATTTTTACTATGTAGTGAGAATTTTAGGAGTAGCCTATTAAAGAGTGAGAAGCCAAAAAAGTCATTCAAAGATATAATGATAGGGAAAGTATGTTTTGCTAACAGGCAAAGGAAATACTAGGGACTTTCTTAGTTAAATAAACTTTTCCTCATTTTTAAAAAATTTGTTACAGTTGGATAGGGGAGAAAATCCAGGTGGCATCCCACCTTCCCAAGAATTAATTATTGATAGCATGGCGACTACCAAGTATAATTAAAATCTGAAGAGAATGGGCAGAAAAGCAACTCCTCGTTTTAAGAATTTCAAACCAGGGCAGAGAGATTTGTTGTGTTATCCCGATCTTTGGGGGCTCCTGAGGAAGCAGGCCTTCGTTAATATACTAGTACAAAGTTGGGTGGGTTACCATAAAATACATGGCGGACGTGGAATATGCTGCTTACTGTTTGCAGGGTTCTAGTCTAAGCACTTTCATGTATAACTTTAATCCTCACAATGACTCTGTGAAATAGGTCCTATATTTCCGCCATTTTACATATAAGGAAACTGAGGCACCGAGAGATTAAATAGCTTGCCCAAGTTTACAGAGCTACCCAGATGGTAATGATGGTCCCATATCTTACCACATATCAAAGAGGCCAGTTTATAAAATATTTAAAAGCATCTGGTTTCCTAGGTTTCTATTAGAGATTTTCCAAGGATCCAACTAGCAAATTCTATATATCCTCATCATCACAAAGGCCATCTACCTCCTCTCATTTCCCTTTTGCTCAAAATTAATATTTAGGTGGGTCCTAAATGTATATGATGTAGCTCCTAATTTATTTATTAATGCCGGCCTTTAATTTGGCCTAAATTAGAAAGAGATAGAATGCTGGGCATTTATTATTAAATGTGCAAGGGGCCAATGAAAATTTTTCGTTATCTCTTCAAACCACACATAGAAAAAGTATTTTCATCTTAGAAAAAGTATTTTATATCATTTATCAAATCAAAATTATTAAACTACATAAAAATATTTTAAATGAAGTAGTTTAGACTTACCTGAGATATTTCAATATTAAACAACAATTATATATTTTAAAAAGGAATCTAAGGTATATATTTGTCATCCTGTCTTTTAGGCTATAGCTGTTTGTATGGAAAATGGCAATTTTAAGGAAGCAGAAGAAGTCTTTGAAAGAATATTTGGTGACCCAGATTCTTATACGGTAATTGTTTATATTAGAATCAGAATTTTAGAACTATTTATATGGAATGAGGAAAATTGGAAGAACATTGGAGGAGAAAAGGAATGTTTTATCTTTTAAACAGTATAGAATAGTGCTATCCAATAGAATGAAAATGCAAGTCATTTTCTAATAGCCACATTAAAAAAGTAAAAAGAAACAAGTGCAACTAATTTTAATAACATTTTATTTAACTCAGTATGTCCAAAAACATTATTATTTTTAACAGTTAAATCTTTTTTTTTTTGTACTAAGTCTTTGAAATCTGGTGTGTATTTTACACTTACGTCTAAATTCAGGGCTCACACATTTTGAGGTATCAGTAGCCACATGGCTACCATATTGGGCAGAGCAGGTATAGAAAAAGGCATTATAACTTGCTTATTTTTCTAGAGGTTTCTTATGTGATCATCAGTAGTTTTGTGTATATATGTAATGTTAAGGTCAATAGAAGTTAGTTTTTAAATATTAAAAACAAAAATTATTGGAGTAAATTAAGCTTAATCCAAGAAATAAAAGATAGTTTTATATATTTTTTAGTGAACTTTTCATTGAACAATAGCATACTTCTAGTCAGGAATATGTATCATAAGTGTATAAGCAGATGTGTTTTCACACAAGGAGCACACTTGGGTGATGTGCCCCTAGATCAAGAATCAGAACGTCACCAGCACCCTCCAGTCACTCTCTCTCACCTTCTCAGGAGTAACCACTATCTTGACTTGTAACATCCAAGATTAGTTGTATTCGTTTCTGAACTTTATGTAATAGAATCATATAGCAAGTTTATATTTGTAAGATTTATCCGTGGTGTTGCTTGTAACAATAGTTTGTTCATTCTCATTGCTCCATTGTAGGAATATACTACAATTTATTCATTTTACTGTTGATGGACATTTGAGTTATTTCCAGTTTTTGGCTGTTACATTCCTTTACATGTCTTTTGTAGAACAAATATATATGTTTCTATTGGGTATATATTTAGGAATAGAATTGATGGGTTATAAGATATGCACATATTCAGTTTTAGTAGATATTGCCAAACAGTTTTCCAAAGTAGTTATGTCCGTTTCTCCAGTAGTGTGGAAGACTTCCAGTTGCTTCACAGACGTTATCTGTGGTTTTCATTTTCATCATTCTGGCAGATATGTAGTGCTATCACATTGGGTTTTAATTTCTGTTTCCCTGATGATGAATGAAATGGGGAAGCTTTTCATATGCTGGTGTAGAGTTGGGAGGTGATCACCTTAATCTGTGGAGGGACTGAGCCAACTTGAAGGTAGGTTATAGTTTTAGTAAGGCACAGTCTCTCTCTTAATTTGCCCCTGTTCCTAGGGTGTAACTCTCCAGAGATTTCAGCCTGATAAGTTTATGGGGTTCCCTGCCCCTACTTTTTTGTCTTAGTTCTGTGAAGCTACTGAAAATTCCACTCTGCTTGTACTTCACAGGTGAGGAAACCTTACGGCCAGTAAGCATAAGAGAAAGTGCGTAACCTCACTACTATTAGTAATCAGGGCGGTACCAAGTAATATATTGAAATAGGATGTCAAACCTCAGACTGAAAATGATTAAAATGTCTTAGAATACCAACAGTTGGCTTAAAAAGTGGACAAATGATAAGACTACCATACCATCCTCTCAGGAGTGTAAATTGGTATTTAACCTTTGGAGAGCATTTTAGGAAAATCTATAAGCATGCATTCCAGCAATTCCACTTCTAGAGTAGCTGTTTTCACTTTCATGGCACATTTTAAAAGCCATGAAGCTTTATTAAAACAAACAAACGAGCAAACAGGCCCCACTGAGACAACTGGTCTGGGATAGAGCCTGAGAAGTAGAATTTTTTTTAAAGCTCTTAGCTTTTATTGTGCAACCAGAATTGAAAGAACTACTGTCCAAGAAAAACTTTTGCTATGCACAAGAAGACATGTAGAAAAATGTTTAACAGCATTGCAGTAATATAAAATAGCCTAAATGCTTTCAACAGGCTGGAAGAATGGGTGAATAAATGGTAATTTTGATCAATGGAATACTGTACAACAGTGAAAGTAACTGGTTCCACAAATATCGGATCAACATGGCTAAATGTCATAAACATAGAGTCAAGCAAAATATAGCAAGTTTCAGAAGAATACACATAGTATAACACCATTTGTATAAAGTTAAAACCATGCTGAACATTACTACGTATTTATGGATGCATATGTATGTGGTGCAAGTATAAAGGAATGCATGGGTATGGTAAATTCTAAATTCAAGGTAATAGTTACCCTGAGGAGAGAGAGGCTAGGGGGTGCAATCAGGTTATGGTAGTAAACAAGGGCTTCAATTGTACAGATAATGTTTTATTTATTAAACTTGGCAATGGACTTTCAGGTTCATAATATTTTCTTGAATCCTTTCGTATATATGTGAAATACAAAATATTTTTTTTAAGTCAGAAAAAATACATTAGTGGGCCATTTAAAACAGAATTTTTAAAATCTCTAATTGTGTCTCTGAGTTTATATTTATAAAGCGCTTTTTTTCAATTAAAAAATATGACAGGGGCCGGCCCGGTGGCGCAAGCGGTTAAGTGCGCTCGCTCTGCTGCAGCGGCCCGGGGTTCGCTGGTTCGGACCCCGGGCGCGCACTGACGCACCGCTTGTTAAGCCATGCTGGGGCGGCGTCCCATATAAAGTAGAGGAAGATGGGCACGGATGTTAGCCCAGGGCCAGTCTTCCTCAGAAAAAAAAAAAAAAAAATGACAAAATTTCTAATACCTTATTTGTGATTTATGTGTTAATACATTTCCTCTGTTTTCTTTAGCCTTTAAAAAGGAAGTTGCTTCTGGTAATCTCTCAGAAAGATGCATTCCATTCCTTTTTTCAACACTTTAGCTACAACCACATGATGGAGAAAATTAAGAGTTACGTGAATTATGTGCTAAATGAAAAATCATCAACCTTTCTAATGAAGGTGTGTATATTTCAGAGAGTCTAGCAGTAGACTTAGGAGAACTTGTTAGAATAAAAGAGAATACTTAAAATAGAAATCCTAAAAACTAATCAGAATTTTATTTAGTGATTTTGTAGAAGAATGTGGCAAAATGTTATAAGTAGTGAATCTAAAGGGTTTACTGGTGATCTTTGTCATATTTTTGCAACTTTTCAAAATTAAGAGTTGGGGAAATTTTTCAAAATAAAAGGTTGAGGAGAAAACTTATCAAAATGAATTAAGAAATAAGAGAAAAAATATTTAGCTTTAATTTAATTAAATTTTAAAGAAATTTTTAGCATATTTTTGGAAAAAAGTAAAATTGGACTGAAGAAGGCCCTTGAAAAAAAATTTTTTTATAACATTTTATCCTCTGTCTTGTCCTCAAAAAGTTTTCACTTAGTATGTTATAGTGCTGCATTGATTAATTTGAAGTAGTATTATTTTAAAATGTCTGGAATTTTTCTTGATTTTTTTTTTTTTTAAGTAACCTTTTATCTTAAAATTGCCTGGAAAGCATTGTGTGTATCAAATACATTTACAAGCAAGGACCCTCTCCGTAATGCTCATAAACCAAACGGGGAGCTAAAATAGCTGCTGGTGATGTCATAGTTACTGGGGAAAATAACAACGTAGTGCTCTTTATTGGCCTGTGAACAGATACTTTGGTTATGACTGTCAAAGAATTAGAAGGCTTAATTTAATGCTGTTTGTTTAAAATTGCTTAATGCATTCTTCCTCTCCCACAACCCCCTTTTTAAGGCAGCAGCAAAAGTAGTGGAAAGTAAAAGAGCAAGAACAACAACTTCTCAAGATAAACCTAACGATAACAACATTGAAATGGAAACTGAAGCTAATGTGGATGTAGAAAAAAGGTTTGTAAATTCATTAATATATTTTTTATCTCATGAATGCAATATCTTTATGTAAATGTGATGCTAGTGAGCCATTATTAATAAAAATAATTATGGAGTAGTAGATATATTGTGTTACTGATGATTAACATTTGGATATTTGGCATATTGTAAAGTTACTTCATGGCTTATGCAAATTCCACTATATATGCTAAGTAAAAATAGAGAGTGAGAAAATAGTACAGTTTAAATGGTGTGAATAGTACCATTTACTGTTCTCAGGGAACATGTGTTCTGGAACAACGTTGAGGTTGGAAACCTGAATCATCTGTGCCCCTTAGTTCTCAGATCCCACATGCCTGCATTATGTGACTGTTTTACTGTACTGAGGGTTATTCTAGTATTTTAAGATATTGTTCATACATCTTCTCTAATGGTAAGCTAACTGCTTCATCTGGTGCTCAACTGAAGAAATAGTGATTTGCTCCAGTGCTGGAGGGAAACAGGTTATGTCAGTCCTACATATTGAGAGACAAGAGTTCGGTCTCCAAAATTATTTCTTCTTTAGAGATTTTCAAGGGTGATTTTTACCTTTTGCTTTGGCTTTAGAAGCTAACCCTATTGAAGAAGATAAACGCTGCCATCATAAAGATCTTCTTTTCTATTGAACCCATGGTCCGTTCCCTCTGTTCTTCTACCCTTAACCCAGGGCTAGATAGTCAAATCCTTGTGGTCTCTGGATGGATATATTTGGCAGTGGATGTAATATTACTGTTTTTTCTTGGCACCATGATTTGAGCGCTACAGGTTCCCCCCATCTTAACTGCTTATTTAGCAATGGGAATTGGGGTCTAAGTAGTATGGACATGGCATTGTCACACCTCAGGACTGAGCTCAGTCTCCTTCTAGTCTCCTCTTTGTCCGTTCATGTCACAGCATGATCTGCTCCTCACTGGTTCATCTCCCCAAAGGCTCTATTAACGTCTTATTTCTCATTGACTTATTTTTTTCTAAGACTCATTTTGAGAAGTAGAGATTTCATTTTTATTGGCTCAATTATTTCATTTTGTTTAGGAAATCAAAGTTTAGTAATACTAAGACCCAGTACATTCTTGTGCACAGCCTTCCTGCCCGGTGTAATACTACTTTAAAATAAAGTTAAAACTTACCATGATTCTTACAGATAATGCACACATCTCCTATGTACTCTCCTTATATAGTACCACTCACTTATTTCAGATGCCCTCCCGGGTGCAGACACCCTTCAGTCAGTGTGTGTAAAACAGCACTCTTGATGTTCTCATCTGTCTCTCTGTACCCTGACCCTCCTCCTTTACCTCACACATCCAGTTATCTCCCCAAGTGTTAGGAATCCCATCACAGAAATGCTTCTCTAATCCATTTTTTCTTATCATGTATATCCTAGATTATTACTTAGCTTTGTACCACACAATCCATCCTTGACATGACTTCCAGAGTTAGCTTCCCATAAAAATAAATCTGTTTAAATCACTTCCCAGCTTAATAACCTCTATTGGCTGTCTGTTTCCTACTAGATGACTTAGAATTTATTGGCATGGCTTATAAAGCCTTACATAGACCCTTTCATATACAACCTCATTCCTAAACATTAACCCCTCCCCTGCCCATATACATGGTACTTTCTAGCAACACAGAACCTCTCCCTAATCTTCAAATATTACATACAAGCTCTTTCATGTTTCAACGCTCGCTTCAATTTTGAATTCCCTTCTTTCTGTTCTCTTCAAGGCAAGCTCTTACTTGCCATTCAAGGTCTAGCTCAAAGATCACCTATAAGAAGGCTTGCTGAGCTCCCTGATCAGAGTTATCTCTTCTGTGCTCCCACAGCACCAAGTCACACCTGTATAAACGGACTTATCCTAGATAGTAACATATTGTTTACCTGTCTGTATCTCTCACTAGATTGAGAATTCTTTGAAGGTTCTTAATTAGCTTTGTATCCTTGGTACCTAGTTGGTTACCAGGCATACATTAGAACTTATAGTGCACTAGACACAGGGAGCAAAACAAAACCAGAGACAAAGATCAAGAATCAAGCAAATATCAAAACCATCCTGGAAGCAAATAGAATCAGGGTAAATAAAGCATCAGATTCACCAGTATCAGAACGAGAATCAGCAGGACGCAAGTGAAACAAGGGTAGAATCTGAAGTGTGATTGTGCGGTCAGACAAGTGCTAGGAAAGATGAAACGATCATATTACCAGTACTAGATGAAACAGATATTTTGCTCAGACACTGAACTGTGTCTGCACCCGGGAGGGCATCTGAAATAAGTGGGTGGTACTATATAAGAAGAATACGTAGGAAATGTGTTCATTATCTGCAAGAATCATGGTAAGTTTTAATTTTATTTTCAAGTAGTATTACACTGGGCAGGAAGGCTGTGCCACAAGAATGTATCGGGTCTTAGTTTACTAAACTGTGATTTCCTAAATCAAATCAAACAACTTATAAACTATTTGAGGCAATAAGACTTACAGACGTGAAACAAACAATAGCAGACATTACATAATTTGTTGTTGAAGTTTATGGATAGACTGAAATGCTGAAGGAGTGAGATGGACGGCCGCAGGGAGGTGTGAGCATGGAGCAGGGCCTGGAAGGGTGGGTAGGAGTTTCGCAGGTGGATGGAAGAGGAAATGTCAGTCCAGGAGAGAAGAGTAGTCCCAGTGAAGGCAGGGAAGTGCAATGGTCATGTTGTGTTTGTGGAAGCTAATTTTAACTACAGCAATGGGGAGGAATTGGTTAAAACATTCAGTTGGAGACTGGTGCAGAAGACCAGAAATTAAACTTGAATTCCTGGAAATAAAGATCCATGGGAGAGTTGAAAGAGTAACATGAATGCTCAACTACAGCATTAACCCTACGTAACTTATGTTTGGGGAAGCCCCATGTAATATTTCTGGTAAGCACATCTGCGCCAAAATTAGCCATGTTGTAATGGACTAATGCTACCAAGGTTTCTTTTCAAAGATATTTTTCGTAAATTGAAATATGACTTGACTATGTAGAAAGTACCATCCTTATGAAAAGTTTCTTTTGTTTACGTTCTTACAAATTTTTTCTTCTTTTAAAGCGTTAGTGACAAACAGCCTGCAGTAACTGAATCCTCAGGGCATACAGTATCCTTATTGAGGTGAAGTAAATTGACATTTTTCTTCTCTGTCTTTAAAATCTTTGATTGAAGCAATTCATGCATACCTGGATATGTTATAATAACTGCCATGTAAATGGTATGATTTAAAGAATATTGCCGGGTCCTCCTTACCTCAACAGATATTCAAGACCCTGATGTGTTTTGAAATTCCAACCTATAGAGACCTGCCTCTGGGATCCTGGGTTGTTTCACATTGTTTCTACAAGGCAATTATTGGAATACACATATAGGGAGTCCTTGAACTTAAAGCAGGTGTTTAGTAAGCTCTTCATCTGTCATGGAAACAAGGATATGCTGGGGCAGGAAGGGATGGAGGTTACATTTCTAATGAATGTCTCAAACTCCAGTTTTATGAAGTTACTTGAAAAACTGTATTTAATGTACTAGAAATGCTGTGACAGACAGTACAACATGTTCAGAGAGCAGAAAGTCTGCACGAATGATTTCAGAGATAGAGCAGTTGGGATGCTGAATGGAACCATGGGAGGGGGTGGCTGACTTGTGTGGAGGACGTCATTGGAAGTGAGGGCTGGAGAGGCCAAGATGTTATATGGATTATCCATGAGAACACAAATAATTCATGATAATAGCAGCACCTGGGGTAGAGAAAGATCTGTGAGTGATGGGAAGTGCTTAGAAGGATAGTTAATGATTACGAAGAATGGTAGATGGTGATACACCTCAGTGGCATGAATCCTCAAGGGCTAAGGTTTCTATGGAAGCAGGATCCTGAAAGTGGCATTTTGAATTTTGCATGAATTTTGAATGAAAGGTATAGAGGCCCACCTTTGGGACCCTGTGGTTCAGGGAAGGGAGAAGATTAAGCCAATCTCTACTTGAGAAGGCTACAAGGAGAGAAATATTGTCCCCGGGGGAGAGCTAGATCTTAGACAGGAGAAGAGGTGGGGGAACTAGTGAAGACGTTGAGAATGGCATTTCAGAGAGCACAATAGAGAGTTTTGAGAGGAAGGGGAAGGCTTAGTAGGTTGCATAGAGCACTTATAGGGGTAAGAGTATAGATTTTAGGTGGTGATAAAATAGCTGCCTAAGCTTAGGTGAACTACTTTTTTCATCTTAGTTTGCTCCTTTATTAAATTGGAATAATACCAACTTTGCCAAGTTTTCAAAAAATTCTGCCACATCCTGTATTTCCGAACAGCCTTACCTTTCAAAAAAGCCCTTTTTGGAAGCTATAAAGATAATCAAGTGATATCTGCCATCACGTATAAAGGGATTTTGAAATTTCTTTTTTGGGAAATAAACTTTTACAAGCCATAGGAGATAATGAAAGTTACTTCTTCATAGTCTGAGGACTTTTTTTTTCCTTGATCTATCTCGTTGTAAAGCCAAAAGAATATATTGATTTCTGAGTAGATGTGATGGAGAAAATAAGTGATGAGAGAGAGGGAAGTCTAACAACACAAATCTTGAGAGGCCACAGGTTAAGATGGGGCACTAAGCAAGGAGAGCACCAAAGAAACAGGCCAAAGTCTGTCCTAGAACAGAGATTCAGACAAATCATCTGCCTTTTCCATAGCTTTTCTAATTTTTGTGGAACCAGTCACAAGCTTTCATGTTTCATTTAGGTCTCACAAGAATCTCCTCTTATCTAAGTTGAAACGTGGAACCCAACAACAAGATTTTAATAAGAAAGAGGAAAGAGCAGGAACTCTTCAAAGTGAGTACTCTTATTACAGTTTTAGAAGTGGAGAATTGATGTGTCCTTGAAAGTGATCCAACTCTTGACCTCACCACCACAACACACAAGCACACACTTCAGACAGCCAAAGCACAAAGAGATTAAATGTCATGACTTCACAGAGTTAATTAGAGGTGGTGCTTAATTTAGCAAGTTAGCTATTCTGATTGCCTAGCTTACAGTACTTTTGCTATGGTGGTATACTGCTTTTCTATTTTAACTTTATTCAGCAACTTGAAATAGTTACTTACCTGAAACATAAATGTAGTTGATTCTGGTTATTCACGATAGTTATATTCTATAAAGTTGCCATGAACACTGAATTAGTGAATGCTGAACCCTTAGAGTAGAATAAGGTTTAGGTTCCTTTGAGCCTCTGATCACAACATTTTTGTCAACTGATCAACACATAACCTTGTTTTATGTGTTTTCTGTTTAAAGACACCTCATTTAATATGTTTGTTAATTCATTAACATTGAACTCTCAGCCAATAGCACTATAACTTGTGCCTGAATGAAGCTCATCTAACACACATCACACCTATTTTCTCTGTAAGGAACATCATAGCCTTCTTGCATTCAGGAACACTAGACAGCACTTCTACAATACACTTGGAGGCCATTTTAAACATCGAAATTACCAAAAAAAAGCACAGAATAGACTGTATAAGGGGCAGTTATTTATAGCATGGTTGCTAAAACGAGAAGGCAGAACTTCACCTTGTTTAACCTCAGCTGGGAATGTGCATGTCAGATGACTCATTTTTTTGCCACTCTGCACATGTCCACCAATGGCCACAAAAGCACTTCAAGTATTGATTTTTTTTTTTTTTTTGTGAGGAAGATCAGCCCTGAGCTAACATCCATGCTAATCCTTCTCTTTTTGCTGAGGAGGACCGGCTCTGAGCTAACATCTATTGCCAATCCTCCTCCTTTTCTCCCCCCAAAGCCCCAGTAGATAGTTGTATGTCATAGTTGCACATCCTTTTAGTTGCTGTATGTGGGACGCGGCCTCAGCATGGCCGGAGAAGCGGTGCGTTGGTGCGCGCCCAGGATCCGAACCCGGGTCACCATTAGCAGAGAGCACGCACTTAACTGCTAAGCCACGGGGCTGGCCCATGTATTGATTTTTGAGTTACAAATTTTAGCATGTGGGTGAATTCACAAATACAGAATCCATGAATAATGAGGATTGGCTATATGTAGAATTTAGATATTCTCATTGTATTTAGAATTTACTATCCTTATAAAAGGCATTGCTGGATTTAAAAAACAAGCAACAGGGGCCAGCCCGGTGGGGCAGCAGTTGAATGCGCGAGCTCCGCTGCAGCGACCTGGGGTTCGGATCCTGGGCACGCACTGACGCACTGCTTGTCAAGCCATGCTGTGGCGGCGTCTCATATAAAGTGGAGGAAGATTAGCGTGGATGTTAGCCCAGGGTCAGTCTTCCTCTCTCACACACAAAAAAGCAACAATAACCAAAAAAAAAATCTTAAAAGCAGTCCATAATTATTTTGTTGTAATTTGACTGTAAGTTTTTCCTTGGTACGTCATTCAACAAATATTTATTGAAGCCACACTATGTTCTAGGTACTGTACTAATGCAGGAATTTTTAAACCTTATTGATCCAATCCTGAATACTTACTGATCAATATAAAAATAATAGATGTACAGACTTGATGCCAGGCACATAATAGGCCTGCAGTAAATATTAATTGAATATATTTATTCATAGCTGGTGGCTGATGACAGGGCCACTATTAGCTAATATTTGTAAATTACAGCTCTAAAACATTTACATTCAGAGATATCATCATCATCCTCATTTTAAAGATGGTAAAGTTAAACTCAAATATTTGCTTCATGTTGGTGGAGTTCCAAAATTATTTTTCTACATCTGTTGCTATAAAAATGGCTAGGAATCATAATTCTAAACTAAAATAATTTGTGGATTTTCCTGGACTTTTAATTTCATTATACAAAATTCAAAGAAATGGAAGCATATACTTTTTAACACTAAATAGTTAATCAGTAGTTAAACTCTGATGAAAACCATAACCTAATTACAGAGTGACTTGACAGTGACTATGGTTATTGAGCCTCGATCTTGTGAGTTTTAGTACATTTCTTGACTTTTTGTTAGATCTTAGTAATGTATACATACACATTCAAAAAAATTCCAGTTTGCTTACACGGGTACCCAGGTATCCTCTCCTTACAATTAGAGGATACGAGTTTGTACTAAACTTTTTGTTCAAATTTTTTTAAAACACCTTTTTTTCAAAAAAAATTTTTTTCAGATTTGTAAAATTGCCGTGTACTTTTAAGAAATTAAGTAATTCAGAAAAGTTGAAACAAAAAAATCACCTAAATTCTTCTATGCAGAAAAAACTCACCAGCATTCACTGAAATGATGATCAATATTTGAGTTAAAAGCTTTTTATATGTAAACTTTTTTAATTCTCAAAACAATCTTAGTGCTTTTTTTTTTAGGAGGCCAAGACAAAAATAGGTTAAGTAAAATGCCCTGGTCACACAGATAGATTGTGAACAGAAGCAGAGCCAGAATTCAAAATCAGACATTCTGACTGCAGAGCTCATGTCCTCAATTACTGAGCTAGACCGCCTCAGGGGAAAGATAGATAGATTCACAGCAAGTGAACATTTAGAAAAATGGATCAGGTTACATGTGTTACTTTAAAATATATTTACATTTAATTTTTTTTTAAAGTGAAACTGAAGGATTCAGTGAACTTCAGATAAATACTGTTTCATGAGAAATATATCAGTGACCTATATGATTCCTCCAAAATGAAGAATAAAGGATATGAAACACTTTGAGAGGTTGGGTCAGGTTGCCTCCCTAACTGTAAATTTGAACTTCAGATTGTTGATTGATTTTAGCTGTAAAGGGTGAAATTAGCAAAAAACCTCTCCTGCAAGCCCCCATTTTTCTTAGTTACATTTTATATGGTCCAAGTTTGTAGTATTCTGTTTCCTAGCCATAATTCCCATGGTAGTTTAATCTGTATTTAAGTTGATTTATTTCTCATCACTAACCCTTTGACCAGGATTTTCCCATTCCTTACCTCTTCATTTTGATTTCTTTCTTTTTTGGCTGGGTTTTTTTTTTTAAGAAGGGCTTATAGGTGCTATAATTTGTAGATTTTTGTCCCCAAGAATGTCTATTTCTTTTTTGCTTAAATATTAAATATAATATTCTTTGGAAATACTTTTCCTCACAACTTTGCGAGCATTGCTCCATTATTTTCTGACGTGATGAGTGCTGCCGTGGACAAGGCTGAGGTCAGCCTGTCTTTTTCCCCTTTTGTATATGAGTTGCTTTTTCTTTATAGATGCCCAGATTTTTCTAATGTGTGCATTTAATGCTATAAGTTCTCCTTTAATTACTGCTTTTGTTGCATCCCACAAATTTTGATATGTTGTATTTTCATGTAATTCAAATTATTTTTTCGTTTCCTTTGAGACTTTTTCTTTGGCCTATGGTTATTTAAAAGCTGTTTAATTTCCAAATATTTAAGGATATTCCAGATATCTTTCTATTACTGATTTCCAGTTTAATTCTGTTCTGGTCTGAGAATATACTTTCCAGGATTTCTTTCTTTTTCTTTTCTTTTTTTTTTTTTTTTTTTTTAATTTAAGGTTTGTTTCATGGCCCAGAATATGGTCTGTCTTAGTGACCGTTGTTCACTTGAGAAGAATGTGAGTTCTGCTATTGTTGAGTGGACTGTTGTAAAATGTCACTTAGGTCAGGTTGATTCATAGTGCTGTTCACGTGTTCTGTATGCTCACTTATTTTTTGCCTACGTGTTCTGCCAATTACTGAGAGAAAAGTATTGAAATCTTCAACTATAATTATGAGTTTCTCTATTAATTATTAATCTCTGTTAATTTATTATTTCTTTTTTGCTTTTTTAGTCCTCTAGCACCAGTTTAAACAATTCCTAATATGAAAATCTCTGTTCGTAACTAGTGTGGCTTCCTTTTTCCTGACTGGAGCTTGGCCAGCGCACATGGTCTGTTCCTACAACAGTACTGTATTGTCTCAATTCCTGTAGTTTTGTGATAACTCAGTACGTGATAGGGCAATTCCCTTCATCTTACTGTTCTTCAGCAGTATTTGACTGTTCTTGATGTTTTGGTCTTCCCTGTTGTCAGGGAAAAAAACCCAACTTCTCAGAGGGTTGCAAGCAGTAAACCTGCTACCACTCTACGGGTGCCAAAAGTAAACAGTAAGACTTAATGGGTCAGAGCAAGACAGTTTATTACAGCACAACCAATAGCATGACCTCAGCCTAGTTGTGCTGGTTCCTCTACCCCAAGGCCCATAGACAGTGCATCTGCCCCGGGTGGATGGCCTGCAGGCAGTAGATTGTACTGCAGCTGAGCAACTTGGGGCCAAGGGCCTAACTTTTTCAGTAAGCAGCAAAACATGGTAGCAAAGAAGCCAGTCCCCACTGCCAGGAGAGTGGTTACATGGTGGTCAGGTTATGGTTCCCTTGACCTGCTCAGGTGCCTGTCTGACTAACTATAGAAACTGCTCAGTATTAGGACGTGAATAAGTCTTGTACATTCAGCAAAAACTTCAGGGATGCTCAGGGCACCGTCCTCACCATCTTTGATTTTGCCGTCTTGGATTACTTGACCAATCTGCCTACTCAAAGTTCCAAGAAAATACTTCACCACCTGCATATTAAAAATAATCTCCTAACACGTGTAATTTTAGAATAATCTTGTTAAGTTCTACAAAGAGCCCTGTTGAAATTTTAATTTGAAATGGCATTGTAACAATAGATAATTTTGGAGAGAATAGACACAATTATTGTCTTCCTATGCATGAACAGTATATTTCTCTATTTAGATCGTCTTATATATATATTTTCTTATAACGTATATGTGTATACACACACACACATATATATAGTAAAGCTTTATAATTTACTACATACAGATCTTGACCACTTTTGCTAGATTTATCCTTGAGAATGTTATATTTTTTGTTACTATTGTAAATATTATCTTTCAATTATTTTAATTAAATATTTTAATTGCTTGTTGCTAATGTACAGAAATACTGTTGAATTTTGTTGATCTTATATCCAACCATCTAGCTAAACCCTTTTTAATTCTATTTTTAGATTCTTTTAGGTTTTCTATATAAACAGTTTTCTTTCAGTAATTACAGTTTCATTCGTTTCCAGTTACACGTACATTTACTTCTTGTCTTACTAAATTGACTAAGAAAGAGGGAATGAAGAAAGGGTTATACTTCTTACGCTGTGTCAAATATTCATTAAGCATTATCTTAAGAAAATTTTAACAGTCCTGTAAGGTAAATATTATTCCTTTTTTTAACAGATGATGAAAAGGCATGCTCTGGGAGGTGAGATGACTTGTTTAAAAACATACAAGAATCAAGATTCAAAACATACCCCCTCTGATTTTCAAAGACTGATCTTTGCACTGTACCATGCTGCTTCCAGATTCAAAAGGAAAAAAATTAAGCAGATAAAATTCTTTTTCTTTAAAGTAGCTAAAAAATAAACAGGGATTTTATGGTAACCTTTAAAAATATAATTCTTCGGGGCCAGCCGGTGGCCTAGTGGTTGAGTTCGTGCACTCCGCTTCAGCGGCCTGGGTTTCACAGGTTCAGATCCTGGGCGTGGACCTACATACCAGTTATCAAGCCATGCTGTGGCGGCGTCCCACATATAAAGTAGAGGAAGATGGGCATGGATGTTAGCTGGGGGCCAATCTTCCTCAGCAAAAAGAGGAGGATTGGCAATGGATGTTAGCTCAGGGCTAATCTTCCTCACAAAAAAAAACTCCTCTTTTTCTTTAATGTGAAACAATTTTTGGTGATGGTGTTTCTACTTTTAGGTGGAAGAAAGGAAAACAACAGTAGACAAACCACTGCAAGCAAGAGAAGACGTGTTTTAAACAGTCAGCCAGTAACTCCTGAAAAACATCGATCTAGAAAAAAACAGGTATTTATTTAAATAATACCTAATGGCCATTAAAGTCATAACTTGAATAATTATGATTATTTCACATTATTTCTGTTCAACCCTAAAAAATCTTGAGTATAAAATGTTTCTTTGCCATCTCTGATTTTGCCATCTTAGATTAATTGACCAATCTGCCCATTCAGAGTTCCAAGAAAATACTTCACCTGCATTTAAAAAATAATCTTAAATTGGGTATTGATAATGACATTTAGAATTATTGTGAAACTATCATAAAGTCAGTTCATCAGATGTGACGTGGGACTTAAATCCACATTATAAGCTTTTTATATTTATATCTTCCTAATAAAATTCCAATTTAATAAAGTTCTTCTGTGCTTTAAAAAAAAGATATCATTTGATATGGAATTTTTCTATTCAGAAAGTTAAGATGGGTCAATTTTAGGACTCACTTCACTTGTTTCCCCTCTTAGTGATTATAGTCCTGTGCCGTCTGTCCATTTTCTGAAACCATTGTTTCCTGTATTTTGTCTGGTTTTCTAGTTGTTTGCAGCAGGTAAATAAATCTGGTCCTTGTTTTATCATGGCTGGAAGTGGAAGGTGATCCTGTACTTAGTTTTCTTACTCTCCTTTATTTAAGATGAGTTTGTTTTCTTGATAAGCTATTTGCTTATGGTTTGTGTTGAGAGTTTGGGGCTAGGGTCAAGTTCCAGGCTACCTGGGATATCTCCGGTGACCCAAGCTTATTTGGGCCTTGCCTTCTCCCCGCAGTGAACATAGCAAGCAACTCCCACTTAGGATTTGCTTCCTGCAAGTATTGCTTACCTGCGTGATTATCGCTCACCTGCGTGATTCCTCATTTAGCCCCACCACCTCCACTTTTTGAAGCTGTTGCAAGTTGAGGGAGGCTCCTGCTGTTGCAGACCAGGGATTTAGGGCGTGCACCTCAGGATGTATTCCTTACTTTGGAAGAGTGTGCACCACAGGCTCTCTGAGGTCTGTGGGAAGAGTGATTGTGCCCTGCTTCTTCACATACCTTTTGTCAGTTTCCACCAATAGTGTACCCCTTCCACGTATATTATGGTTCTGGTCATAGGGGTCTCCTGATTTTATCAGTTTGGGATTTTCTTTCTTTCCTTGTTACTGTTGGGTGAATTCCCAAAGGAGAATGGGGAAATGCTGACCATATACCACTATATGCAACCAAAAGTCATACGTATTTTTTGTCTTTGATTTTTTTGCACTTTGAATGTGATATGCCAAAGTGTAGTTTTTTGGTATTTGTCCTACTTCATGTTTTCTGAGCTTCCTGGATCTGTTTTGGTGTCTGCCGTTAATTTTGGAAAATTCTCAGCCATTATTACTCCAAATCTTTCTTCTAGTCCTTCTCTCTTTCTTTGGTGTCCCATTGCGTGTATGTTACACCATTTGTAATTGTCCCATAGTTCTTGGCTATTCTTTTTCTTTTTTCTCTTTGCTTTTCAGTTTGGGAAGTTTTTATTAACGTATCTTCAAGTTCACTGATTTCTTTTTTTCATCTGTGTCTAGTCTGCTGATGAACCCATCAAAGGCATTCTTCATTTCTGTTACTGTGTTGTTGATTTCTAGCATTTTCTTGTGATTCTTTCTTAGGATTTACATCTCTGCTTGCATTTACCCATCTGTTTTTACATATTGTGTACTTTTTCCATTATAGCCCTTGGCATATTAATCATAGTTATTTTAAATTCCTGGTCTGATAATTCCAAAATCTCTGCCATAGCTGAGCCTGATACTGCTTTGTCCCTTTAGATTGTTTTTCCCTTTTAGTGTACCTTATAATTTTTTTGTTAATAGCCAAACCTGATGTGTCAGATACAAGGAACTAAGATAAATTGGCCTTTGGTGTGAGGTTTTGTGTTTGTCTGGCTAGGCATTAGGCTTTGTTTACTGTTGTAGTAACGGTAGGTGTCAGAGGCTAAAATTTCCTTGTTTTTGTCTCCCTTCTTGTCTTTGAGTTTCCCTAGAGACTCCTTCTTAGTAAGAGTCTGAGGCAGCTCTTTCAGCCGAGGTCATCAATATATAGGAGCCCAAATAATGTGGTGGTGAGATGGGGGGAGAGGAAGCATTCTATAGTTCTGTGATTCTCATTCATTTAGTGAGCCTATGTCCTGGGCTAAGACCTTCGTATGTGCTTCTCAGCCTTTATTTCCCCCTATTAGGTGAAACAGGAAACCTAGAGGGGGCTGAAGTTGGGTATTTCCCTTTCCCTACATGGAAGGCTATAGGGGGCTGGAGTTGGGTGTTTTCACAGGTCAGTTAGACACTGGCAAAATTAGTTTCTCTTGAGGGCAGGCTTTTGTTAATGAGAACAGAATGCTCTGGAAATATTTCAAAATGACTGCTTTTCCCCTCCGCTTGCTAGAAGCAGGAGAGATTTTTCTCCCATCTTCACCCTGAGAACCTGATGGGGCTTTGGAGGTAAAACTCACAAAAGTTTGTGGGACTTGCTAAGATTTGGGCCCCTGGAGTTGTGTTTTTTTTGTGTGTGTATGAGGAAGATCAGCCCTGAGCTAACATCGTCACTAATCCTCCTCTTTTTGTTGAGGAAAACTGGCTCTGAGCTAACATCTATTGCCAATCCTCCTCCTTATTTTTCCCCCCAAAGCCCCAGTAGATAGTTGTATGTCATAGTTGCACATCCTTCTAGTTGCTGTTTGTGGGACGCGGCCTCAGCATGGCCGGAGAAGCAATGCATCGGTGCACACCCGGGATCCGAACCCGGGCCACCAGTATCGGAGCGCCCGCACTTAACCGCTAAGCCCTGGGGCCGGCCCCTGCCCAGAGTTTTTTAACTCCAGCTTGTCCATAGTGAGCCTCTATCAATTCGTCCATCACAGTTAAATGTTCGTACTGGCTCCGGATGTGAACTTCTCCTGGCCTTCTGCTCCCAGTAAGCTATGATTCTCTGTATCTACCTTTCTGTCTTTCTAGTTTCCAGGGCAGCAGTTCGTCCTGTGACATTAATTCTCTGATGGATCTAAGAAGAATTGTTGACTTTCAGTTTGTTCAACTTTTTTCTTGTTGTAAGGACTAGAGTGATATTTCTAAGCTATATGTCAGTCCAAAAACTGGAAGTCTCTGTCTCATACTTTTAATTGATCTTTCCCTGTTGTCCTTCTGGCAACAATTCCAAATGGGATTATAGGTGTTATTTATAGATGTATATCAGGAAAATAGTTTCTCACTTTCATTTTTTGTATTTGAAACAAAATGTGGGAAATCAACTACATAATTTAAAGAATAGAATATAGGTGATATTGCTTGTCACTGTTTACTATGCCAAAAATGAATTCTGTGCATATCGTGTCTGGTTTTATTTTTAGCTTCCCGCTGTTGGCTTTTTGGTGGGACAGCTTATTTCAGATGAGCAACAGATTTTATCTTATTTTGTGTTGAGATTTTAGTTCTTTAAAATTTTTATTGCAGTAGTCTATGCCTGACTGGACAGTTTCTCCTTCCTGCGTTTGTCTGTTAAACAGAGAAAGGTATTTTTGCCTGCCTCATCACAATTTAAAAAGAACCTTCCTCTTGTAGATTTATTCTATTCAAGAAGAAAAGTAAATGCCCTTCAACAACAAAGACTTTTTTTCCATAGATGGTATATAATGGGAATTACTCTAACAGTTTTTTTTAAAATTATAAATGGTATCATTTTTAAGGTGTTATAAAGCATGTCTTTTTCCTCTAAAAGGCATTAGAAATGATAGGCAATTTTCAAATATAAGTCATATAAACTTTTTAGCCTTAGGAAACAAAAAAATTGGTACATTTTAGTTTGTTGTGTGTTCTTTGTATTTTTGGGGGTTATGGGCATGGCTAGGATTGTTATGATTTTTTATTGGTTTTATTTTTAATTTTTCAAGAAAAGCGAAAAACAAAAGAGAATAGCACAAAGGGCACAGTTTTTGTTTATGTCCTGAAATATATCATCTTAAAACTCTGTGTTAACTATGTGTCATTATGAATGGAATCTAGTACAATATGTCAAATGTATAAAATGAAAAAATGAAGTTTTAAGCAACAGAATAGACTTATGACATTTGTGCTGCCATAATGTGTTCTTTCTCATCTGACACTAAGCCAGCTGTGTCACTCCTTCACCTCCATCTATGGAAAGGAGGAGTTGGCCTCTTTAAACTCTAACCTTTAAAGATTATAGTTATCATTTGCTGTGTGATCACTTAACCCACATGATGTTTTTCAAGACTCTTTCACCTTTAAACCACAGATGAAATTAAGCAAAGTCGTAAAAACATTCAGATCAAACAAAATAGGGCATAATCAATCACAAAGTAACAATTCATCAAGTTAAAGATTCTCTTTTTCAATAGAAGAAGAAAATTAAAAACAATGTTAAACACTGTGGTTTTTGGTTAACCTTTACTGACAAAATTATAACTTTCTTCTATGTCAGAGGTTGGCATACTTTTTCTTTTTATCTTTTTTTTCCAACTTTATTTATTTATTTTTCAATTTCTTTTTTTTATTGTTGTGAAATTTTTGTTGCACATTATTGTTTGTCAGTCACCATATAAATGCATCCCTCCACCCCTTGTGCCCACCCGCAACCCCCTTGCCCCTGGTACCCACCAAACAGTCCTATCTGTCTGTGTGTTGGTTTCTCTTCCACATATCAGTGAAATCATGTAGTGTTTGTCTTTCTGGCTTATTTTGCTTAACATAATACCCTCTGGGTCTATCCATGTTGTTGCAAATAGGATGGTTTTGTCTTTTTTTATGGCTGAGTAGTATTCCATGGTGTATATATACCACATCCTCTTTATC